TTGTTTCTACTTATTAAAATAGAAGATTTAGATTTTTTTTTAAATTCAAATAAATTATGACAATAAATCATCAAATTTATCTTCTTCAACTATCTAACATAAAGGAAATATGAAAATTGGTCAACAATATTATTTTAATATAAAATAAAAAGTTATAGTGTAAATTTAATTAACTCCTTCTAGGATTATTCTATAGCTATGGACTTTTGTCATACTAAATTACTGAAGCAGGTTTAAATGAATGTTTCATAGTTAGTTTAGAAGTATGAGGATGTTCCAATAAAACATTGTCTATTTTGGGAAAAAGACATTGAAAGGATAATCAATTGCATGATGTTAATTTCATTAAACATAAATGATTCACAAGTGACTTATGTTATGAATGTAATGGCACTGAGAAGAATTAAGTTTGTTAATAATTCATTCTTGATTATAACTTTTTCCTTAAACTCTCAGTTCATATTTTATTGCCAGAATCAATATGAATAAAACTTTTACTATTATCTCTGGGTCACGAGAAGATAAGATTGATAAATTGATTCGGATGATTTTATTCAAGTTTCTTTTATTTCAAGTTATTTCTGTCATCGCACCGTTACTTATTTCATTTCTATATATACTGCCAGTCAAAAACATGAGAAAAATTCTATATTTTGCGAAAATTCAATAAACAAAAATAAATTTGAAACTTAAATAAAATAATATAATAAAGAAATAATGCACTTTTAGAAGAATTTTTTTTTATTATTTCTGTTTGTTTTCCTTTTTTTTTTTTTTTTAAGACTCTAAAGCTCACAATGAATTTACTGTATTTTATTCTAAAATGACTTGTCCTGGAATTAAGAAAGACTGTTATTATAATTAAATAACAGGTGATTTGACTGTCATTGTATAAATCTACTAAAAATATCTCATCTAGTATGTTCAAGTAATTTGAATATTTTAGTGTTATAAACCGTATATATTGTTTTAAGATTCTGAATATTTTACAATTTCTTTCTGCATTTTTTTCTTTTTTTTCTTGAATTTTGGGGTATTAAAACAAAAAAAGTCGAGAACCAATGTTATCCTAATTGATGCCACAAGTAAACAGACAATAAAGAAAAGAAAAATTTGGTAGCAGAGCATATTTAAGTGTTTTAGTAAATTCGTGTCAAGATTTTATAAGTGTATATTTATTGACAAGCAAGCTTTTTTTTTTTTTTTGGAATAATTGCCATTGAAAAAAAAGGCAATGGATGCAACAGTATTTGACATTAAAAAGTTGGCGCATAGAACACTAAGAGATATTTTGAACTGTTAGAAGTAACCAGGTACCCAGAAGATGAGGATATTGAAGACAGAGTAGTAGAAGAGAACTCCGTAGGTGGTGAAGATCAAAATGTTGTGCTAGAAGCACATGCTGTGCCCATCTATCATCAGCCATCCAGTAACGAAGAGGACTTCATGAGCTTTGAAGAAAGAATTGCATTGTTAGAAGGATAATAAACACCAGAAGATCGACAGGTATCCTCTTATGATGATGATGATGATGATGATGATGATGATGATGATGATGATGATGAGGAGGAGGAGGAGGAGGAGGAGGAACAGCCTTGTGGAAATAACAATTGTTTTAGCTTTATCTCTTGTAATTGCTTTTATCGAATAGATTCAAATCAATCACGAGATGAACTGACTTCTTATGAACATAATTTATAAAATTTTTAGTAAAGCATATTAATTCCTTCAAAGTAACACCCATTTTTTAACAACAACTGGTCCTGTTTTATTTTTATAATTTATTTAAAAGTGCATCCTGGTTAAGGCAACTCTGGTGTTTGCAGTAATGGAATGTTTTGTATGCCTGGATATAATACACTACTGCATTCAACACATTTATATTTTGTATCTATAGTTGTGCACAGGTCTTCCTGTTTTTTAATGATTCTTTCTATTGTTTACTATATTTAAGACTCATAATTTGGAAAAAAAATTTTTATGTAATCTCCAATAGTTTAGTTATTCTTATTGCATGGCCAAGGACAAAAAAAAAAAAAAAAAAAGGAAAATCTATCTGGAGGGTGATTATACACAATCATTCCGTTTTGTGTCAGCATATTAATTTGTAATCAATACATCCAGCATCTGTGCATTTTATGTTGTTAACAGCCATCAAACTCTGAGTTACTCTCAATTAAAGGGCTTTTTTGATGATTCTTCATGTCATGGCTTTAGTTATAATAACAGCTCATTTCAATAATTACACAACCTTAATACCACTTTAATTTATATCTTATATTTATGTCAAGGAACTAAAAGAAGTTTTTAGTTTTAGCATTCTGCCTGAATTATTCATCAATCTCTAATGCCAATCTAACAAAAAAATGGAGAAATGAAAAATATATATCCATTATTTGACTAAACCTAATAGTCCAATAGTTTGGAACCATGGCTTTTGGGCAAACATCTACTTATTTTATGTTTTAAAGCACAGCTTGTGTATTTATTGGGCAATGTAGTATTCAATATGAATATATATTTTTTAAATTATAAGAAAATTTTAAATTTATGGGAGAGAGAGACAGAGAAAAAAATAAAATAAACATAAGTATATTCAATGTGACTGCATGATAACACTATGCTCAAGAACCAAATATTCTGAATTAATTGGTGTGACCATAAAAAACTTGCCATATCATTTCCACTAATTTTTTGTTATAAGAAAGAGAAAGATTTGGTTTTCAATGAGTTTTTATAAGAAGTCAACCAAAGTGTAATTTCAGTAATCCAAACTTCAGTAATACAACCACTCTAGTAATCAGAAGCAAAAAAAAAAAAAAAAGAATGAAAAATGATATAAAAAAATAAATATATGAAATAAACAAAAAATAAAACCTGAGGAAGAAAAGGTGTATGAATAGTTATGTTCCTGAAAGGAAAAACAGAACTACAGAGAAAAAGAATCACTTGTTTAGTCAAATTTTTGGAGATGTTCTTATCTTATGAAAATGCACTATTCCCATGGTTAGTATCCAAGAAAACACCAACCTTTTTGTAAAAATGAATGACATTAAAACATGCGAGGCAGTGCTTATTGCAATCGATATATTTGATGGGCATTAGAAAACAGTATGCCTTGGCTAAAAATCCTTTTCCATGAACGTTTAGAAGAAGAAGCAGTGAAGAATATCCCTCAAAACAAATAAAAATAATCGAACCCCTTTAATTAGATAAGTTTTTATGAATTTGTTTTACAAATTCAATTTTTTGAACTAAGTATACACACATGTATCTGACTAATAAAGTACTAAGTATTTATTGAAATTTTTAAGATTGGCAAAAGAGAGAATTCCTCAGAAGAGACAGCAAACCATTGAGGACAACTGGCAAGCTGGAGATATAAGCGAATTATATACAAACAGGAATGGAAGTGTATGAAAAAAAGTGGCATGAAAAATATGGAATTCAGATAGCATTATAATAAAGTAAATTAAGCATTTGGAAAGTATATTTTCAGCAGTTTCTCGATCTAGGAGAACCATGAACAAAGAATACATCGACCACACTGAGTACGTCAGTGCTGGAAAAATTAATGGGTAGGTAGCTCAGGATTTGCACACCTTGTTTGTTTATTTTAAAGCATACTCTTATTCTGTGGTTGGAAACTGTGTTTTGAAGGACATGACTGAATTGGAAGTTCTTGGAAAGTTGGTCAGATTTAAGGCTAAATTTAGGTTCCTAAATTTTGAGCCCTAATACTAGAAGAAGTATCTGAAGCCTTGAAAGTTTCACTTGTTATGTGGTGAGAAGATGCACTATCACTGATGCTGATAAACGTAGCACTAGAGAATATGATAAGGACATCAAGTGAAAATGGAGGGGTGCACATCAGAACAAATTCTTGAATGTGCTGATGGTATAATTATCGTTGAAAGAAAACAAGAGTGTATTGAGAGACTTGCTAAGATTCAGATAAGGTTGTAATGGCCGAGCGTGTTTTTCGAATCGTAAAATTTATTTTGTGATGGACCAATGGGATGAATCTTGACTCACTCCGATAAGAATAGGTTTGGTTGTACCTCTATAACAGCTTCTCCCTTCCCTCTGGTACTCCATAAATGGTGAGGGGGGGGAGGGTAATCGAAAAAAATAACTCAGATAAGAGATCTGGAGAAAATCAAATTGTAATTAAATTAAGATAAAATAAAATAAATAACATTAAGCTGAAAATTCCACCTCTACAATAGGATCAATGAGAGTACTAACACACGAGTAAGAGGACCGATAAAGAATTATATATAAAAAGTGATCAACCAATATCTCATGACATAAAGGAAAGCAGGCTGAGATGGGAGAGGCATGGAGCTCACAGAAATCCAACAGGAAGACTCTTCAAAACAATAAATGACTCAATTGAGCATACATGATACTTCATGGAAAGCCAAAAATTGATGGATATATTGAATCAACAAAGATACTGCAGAGCTGCATACAGATAAATTGAAAGCAATAATCCAAGATAGCCATAGATGGAGAAAGCTGGTATCGGTGACTAAAGTCTATAAGGTCTATAAGCCAACAAAAAAAAGTGTATTTATTGACCTTTTTGTAGTTTTCATTTTTCTTATCACTCTTTATTTTAATAATTTGAACATCCCCCTGTAACAATTAGTTTGGATCATTAATTTGGAGAGTGGAATAGAAATTCTATTATGTCATTCAATTTGGTAGTTTGCATAGGCCAATTAGTCAAAACGTATTCATATATTTTAGAACTAAAACAAAGTTTATCATTACAATTACAATGTTTATAAAATTATAAAGTAATTATAAAGAAAGAATCTTTGATCATTTAATTTTGTTCATATTTGAGATACAATTGTGATTAGTTTCATGAAATAATTTAATATGAGAGCTAATGTTCAAATATTTGATGAAATTATTACCATTAATGTTTCAAAGATCAACAAAATTAGAGAACCAATGATATTTGTTTACTTTTATATTCACGTACGTACCTATTAAGGAGAAACATGTTTCTCATAATATTCAGCTTAGAACAGTATGAAATGGATGCTATTCTCATTTGAATACAATTTTTCCCTCCTGAGAAATATTGAAAGGTGAGTGATCTCTATACATTTAAGCTTCATAGCTTCTCTATCGTTTATATGGTATAGTCCTAATACTCCTATATCCTATGTGAAAAATATATTATTATAAATTAAAAAAGTGCTCACTTTGCATGCTGAGAAAATGAAAGCCATCTTGATTGGATTCCCCATACTCCTCAAATCCTTCCTGGCAATCCTTCAATCTTCTCCTGAACAACTCACCTATCTTATTCCATACTACCATTAAAAACCTAGGTGTTACTTTTGATCAAACCCTCTCCTGGAAACCTCACATCTCCTAAATTTCCAGTCACACTATCTCCACCCTAAAACAGTTCAATCGACTACGTTATCTCCTTCTACATGAGTCCTGTCATCTCCTAGTTTTCTCCCTTGTTTTCTCCCGCTTTGACTATGGCTGTATGGTGTATGGTAGACTCTCGGGAGATCTCGAGACCAAACTTAAACGCCTAATCAATTGCGGATTACGTTTTGTTTTCGGAATCTCAAGAGATACGCATATTACCCAGTATTACACAGAGTTGAAGTGGCTCTATCCATCCTATCTCCGTCAGTATTTTCTAGCTACCTTTCTGTACCAGATCATTAGAATTCACCGACCCTCCTATATTTTCCATAGCTTACAATTTAAATACTCCATCCAATCCCGTCCCACTAGAACCCACTCTTTCGACCTCTATCCCCCTCCTCACTGAACTGCTGCATTTGACAAATCATTTGCAATTCAAGCCGCCTCCTTCTGGAATTCTATCCCTACTGATATTCGACACGCACAATCAGTTTCTTCTTTCAAACCTCTCCTCATTAAACACCTACTCCTTTCTCAATCTGCCTGATTACGAAATATACCTAACAGAGCTATCTAAGTACCACCAGAAATAATTTCTGTTATTTTAGTTTTCTCTGTTTACATTATATATGTGTATGCTTTTCATGACTTTTTATCTCTCTCCCTCTATATTTTTACTTTTAAATAACCAATGTTGTAAATATTTACTCTATTTATGACCACTTATACATGTATTCAGTACTTATAATTTGTTCTAAAGGGACAACAGCCCCAGAATAATAAAACTTATTTTCATTCATTCATTATGAGGTTAGTGAGGATGTTATGAGGATAGTGAACTATTTTAATTGGATAATGTGCTGTGATATGTATTGAGAATAACTTAAATTTAAGATCTTAGAAAAAGAATGTCTAGAATGGATTTATATAGATAACTGATATATGAATATGAAACAGTGTATGAATATAGCAAATTCAGCCTTTTTTTCTTCTCTAATAAAGTAAATGCAAAATAATTCAAATGTGTGTGGTGAGAGGAAAGGGTCAGATTTCTAAACCGAGAGGAAAATGTAGAATCCCAGTTGAATGCTATAAAATCAGAGATGTTACAAACAGGAAAAGAAGTTTGTGGCATGTATAGGGTAAGGTGAATGGGGAAGTGTACCAGCTGGTGAGATGAATACATAAAGAAGGTGGTATGGAAGAAGAAGTAAGCTTGAAATCATTACTCCAAGATAAAGGGAAGGAATTGTTTAGTCAGTCTTTATATGGGAAATCAGTTTTGAGGAGCTCCCTCAAATCAACACCAATGGGAATCGTAATATAAGCCAGGAGGAAACAGCAAAAAGAGGAGAACATTGATGCTATAGACAAAATGAAGACGGGAAATATGGCAGAAAAAGATGGTATTGCCCCAGAATTCATTAAAGTGGTGACCAAGAATTATAGACAGCTCTTCAAGGGCTGTTTCAAGATACATAGGATTCTATATGAGTAACAGAGGATAGGAATTATAGTTTTATAATTCCATTAATAAGAAGAGCAGCCCAAGAGAATTCAAAAACTAAAGGACAATCAATCTTCTTTTGGTTGTATATAAATTATACACATGCATTTTGGTAAGAAGGCTAACTCGATTTTTGATTGGCAGCTCGACTGGGAACAAGCTGGATTAAGAAGCAAGACCACTTATTCATCATTGAAAGGGCAATAGATGAACCTTGGGTCCGAGATAAAGACTTTTCTGGCTTTCATTGATCTGATGGCTGCTTTCAACTCCGTTCCAAATCAGGAAATATGGAGGGCTCTGGAAATTAATAATGTTCCAGGAGATTTGATTAATTTAATAAAACCAACACTTAAAAGGAGCAAAAGGGGTAGTATGGATTAGTGGGAGAGATGGCTACATTCCATATGGATAAAGAAGTCAGACAGGGTGATGGCCTTAGTCTCCTTCTATTCATGTTTCATGGATGAAATATACATGTTAAAAAAAGAAATCCATTAATTGGTCCATTAATAGACTAACATTAATTGGCAAATAGAACAGGCATTCTATCGTCATCTAAACCCTTTTATACACTAAGGATATAGTTCTTCTGGCAGGCACAAGGGGAAAGCTGTAGCAAGCTCTTGTTAAATTTAAAGGAGCTCCCATCCAAAATGAATAGCAATAAATACGGCCAAAAGCAAATTGCTTGCTGTGTTTATTATGCGAAAGAGAAGCTCTTGAAGTGGTAGACCACTTTCCTTTCCTAGATACTATTATTAGCAGGTCTGGTAAAATTGATAGAAAAATTATAAAATTATATATCCTTACATATCAAAATTGGTAATTGCATAATACTCCAAGAACACCTGAGAATTCTCTATGAGGAACACGTATAAAGAATATGTGCATGCTGGAGAAAAACTCTGGCTCATAAGAAGTTGATGTGTCTGGATGAGGTTGAATGGCTCCACTAGATTAAGTACCCTCTATACCAATAATGGCTTAATGGGGAAGATAAAAAAGAAGAAGTGGATTTGAAAATAAAGAAATAAATTAAATGAAAAATGAGACAACTTGAAATAAACTAAGCAAGCCATGATTGTTTGATCCCTCATTGAATAAGATGACAAAATATCCTATTAAAAATAAAAATAAAGTGTAATGTATTACACAACTTTCATATAACATCCAAATTCCAAAGGAACTTAATTATTTAAAACATTAATATCGTAAGAAATTATTTCAATTTTAAGTACCAGCTAAAATAGATTAAATTGTGACAATTATGTGCACTAAATATTTTTGTGAAAATAGTTTTGAATATATTTTTTATGGAAATTTTATCCAGTTTTGAGAAAATATTTATTTCTCTTTCAATAATATAAAAGCAGATATTATTAACTATCCCAATTAAAAGTCATTATCTTTTAGCTACTTCCCATCATCTTTTACAAACTCATATTCATTTTTCTAAAATCTGCACATTTCTAATAGTATATCACACATCTGTATTACTACTCTTATTTTTGGAAATTTGTTTTTAACCTGAAAAAATATTGCTTCTATTTTTCCTTTATTTAATTATCAAATTATTCTCTAGTTCATATTAATTCTGTATTACGATTAACATTGAGAGACCTTTGATTATTTATAATAATCAAAATCAATGTTAGTTTAGAGGAAGAAATTTTGAAAATTTGATATGTATTCTCTGTCAGGCTATTTCAATGATGCTAATACCTCCATGATATTGTATTAAAGAGCATTTAGTTTTACATTGACCATTCAATCTAAATGGTTATAGTTGTTTTTGAGAAAATTTAATTAAATAATGAAATTGAAGGTATGAAGTACAATTCTGTGTAGGTCAACTTTGATAAAAAAGTTGCTATAGCACCCGGGCATATATCTACCTTAAAAAAGTAATTTCAGTTACATCTGACTTTTTTTTTAGAAAGACTGTTCACATATTCACAGATCTTTTTTGTGAGCCTTGGTTATTTGCACTCAAGAGATCTTGAAAAATGTATTTCTACCAATAACTGAGATTTGAATTTTTTTATGAATACAATGTATTCATTAATTAAACTCAGACTAATAACAATTATTCCATTGTTCACATAATCTTATTCTATTAAAATAGGAAAATAATATCTGATAATTATGTTATCATCAATGGTGTATATCTCTAGATTCTAGGGTATATCAATTGTACAATTGAAAACATTCAAGACTATGACTGTCTTTATTTTCCACTTCATACTTTCTAAATCACTTCTAACACATTTTCTTGTTCTCTTCTTCTGATTATGCCTTGAATATGCATAGTTTGGCAAATGAAAAGAAAAATTGATGAATTCTACTTGTTGAAAATAACTCACACATTAAATATCAGGTCATTAAAAATACAGACTTAAGGAACAAAATGCACTCGAAAATATAACAAAGAATATGACTCATAAATAGTACTATATGCATCACACTGAGAGAATACAAGTGTTATAAGTAAACATTTTTTAATCTCGGAAATCTTAATAGAAATCCTAAAAACCAACTATCCTAAAATATTAGCCTGATCAATTGATGCAAAAGGTGATGTGCCAGCAGCATGAATTAGTGTAACCCTTTGAAGACTTCTATGCACAACTTATTCTGTATAAAATTTTTGATATGACGATTTTTTTATTTTTATTTTGGCAGTGCTACATTTACATTATTTTAAATAAACTTAAGATAAATCATATAGAAGTTAATTCAAATTTGACTATTGTTTTGGGTCACAATGGAGTTTTAAGAATCTAATTACAACAGCTGTACTACTATCAGGTTAAATGAAAATTGCAAGTAGCAACCTTAAAATACCAATCAGATGCACAGAAAAGTAATTGGGCATAATTGCAAAATGTACTTAATTGAAACAAATAATAATAATGTACTTAGAATATTACTCATTTGAATTCAAGAATGTGCAAAAAAATATTTACTTAATAAAATAAAAGGCTAACAATCTTTATATATTGCCTGTTTGATTCAAGATTTTTCATTTATTATATATATATATATGTGTATAATAAGAATATAATAAGAATAAGAATCAAATAAATTTTAAGAACTGCTGAAGGGTGTGTACTATGCCTTCGAGTTTTATATTATAAGAACATTACGCCATA